ATATATTAGTGATTTATTTCCCTTAAAGAATGAACTACTATAAAAGGTTTCATTTTCTTTAAAGTATTTATTGTAAATGAACATGTTAAAATTAGTTAACAATTTTGTATCAAGTTTAACATTTTAACCTTTAGTAAAACTTGTAATTTTTTATACACCAAATTGTTAAGATTTTATTTAAAATAAATATGATGTTTGGGTTATATGAAGGGTATTTATACAAGTAGGAAAATAAATGTTAAAGAAAAATACATTTTTTATAACAGTTAATATTAAATTTGTCATAAAAAGTATTATTTTTATATGACGTGTTTAACTTTAACTATCATAAAAAAAGTTATGCATTTTATTATGGATAAAACACCATTTCTCATACAATTTGTGAACATAAGAATATGACATATTTTAATGCTTTTATTTTGACAAATCTTTTAAAACTGAGATAAAAGAATAAACTTTCTGTATCATTTATATTAATGTTCTTGAAATATTGTACATGTATCTGAAAAGTAAATTCTATAAATTATATAGCATTTATGCCACAAGGTACAAATATCAAATATTTTTTTTGTGTAAAAAAAGCATATACATTCTTATACTTTTAAATTTTGTTTTATTTATTTTTTTATAAAAAGTTATTAATAGATATGTAAATCCCATAATCTCACACTTGAAAATTCATAGTTTATATATATATAAATATATATATAGGGGTTTGCTAACGCGCGTACGCCTGTTTTTCAGTTGGTACATTTTAGCAATGTGTACCGGATTTTAGTAGACAAAAATATCCTTATATACCATGGATTCTAAGTTTTAAGGTTAAGGGTATTTTAATAATTTTAATTCTCAAAATTTTTTTTAAAAAAAAAGAAACCCCCAAACCCTTACTCACCTCTCTCATTCCTCTCAACCCTTTCTCTTTCATCTCTCTCACTCCAACATTTTCTCTGTCATCCCTACTGTAGCCCCAATTGAAAAGATCAGAAGCACTTGTCTTTAAACAATTTGCCTTTGTAAAGAGTTGAGTCATTGACATATTCACCTTCAGGCAAAGGTTCATTCAAGATCTCTTCAATTTCACCATCTTCACTAATTTCTCTAATTTCATCATCTGCATATATTGAATCATCATCTCTAAAAAAACCCTCCAGGCCAATTACCAATTCCTTTAGATAAAATTATATACGACAAAAATTATAAAATGAAACTCATTATAAAGTCATTTTTTGTAAGAAATTGTTTAACAACGAGTGTTTCTGATTTTTTCCAGGCCAATTACCAATTCTTCTGATGTCATTATGCTGGTGAAAATTAGAAAAAATTACATAAGACAAAAATTATAAAATAAAAACTCATTATAAAATCATTTTTTGTAAGAAATTGTTTAACAACAAATATTTCTGATCTTTTCGAGGTCAATTACCAATTCCTTTATGTTGTGAAAAATTGGATAAAATTAGATAAGACAAAATTATAAGATCAAACTCATTATAAAATATTTTTTTGTAAGATTGTTTGACGGCAAGTGTTTTCTAATTTTTTCAATTGGGACTACAATAGGGTGTTCGATTTTTTCAATTGGGGCTACAGTAGGATGTTTTTTTCAATTGGGACTACAGTGAGATGATAGCGAAAAGATTGGTGGAAAAGAATGAAAAGGGTTGAGAGGAATGAGAGAGGTGAGTAAGGGTTTGGGGGGTTTCTTTTTTTTTTTTAGTTTTGAGAATGAAAATTATTAAAATACCCTTAATCCTTAGAATCATGGTATATAAGGATATTTTTGTCTACTAAATCCGGTACACATTGCTAAAATGTACCAACTGAAAAACAGGGTACGCGCGTTAGCAAACCCCATATATATATATATATATATATATAGATATATTATATAGATAGTATATATATATATTATAGATATATATATATATCATATATATATATATCTATATATATATATATATATATATATATATATATATTATCATATTTATATATTATATCTTACTAAATTTCAATTACAAAACTCATACATATAACTCAGATTCTTTAATGTATTTTCTATCTCTTTCTTCATTGGCACTAGATCAGACGACATTCCTTCATCTGCTCCCGTATAACGAAGTATAACGATCATCGCAATACACAAACAAACAAAAGTAGTGGTGAGTAACAGCAACAAATCATTATAAAAACATGCATCATTACTTTGGATACATTCACAAACATCATATAATAATTATGGTCAGACACTCTCATACCATCACACCATAGATACTCATCCCTCAGTACCACAATTCCTAATAGACACTCGTCCCACAATACCCAATAAACACTCATCCCACAATACTTAATAGACACTCGTTCCACATACTCAATACACACTCATTCCACAATACATAATAGACACTCACTCCGATGATACGTTGATGAGCGGTCACGGGAGGTTATGCACTTGTGATGACTTTTACTTCTTCTTACAAATACACTTTTAAAATACTCCATACCATTCACAAGGTTAGTCCTCAACACTATGTACAAAACCGGCACATAGACCAGGACCTCCTGCCCCTCTCACTACATAATTCATCCTTCTCTACTTGAGATTGGATGATTATTAGAGTATCAGGATAATATCCAACGACAGGACCCCAACATCAACATAATACAAAATACCATAATCATTACGAATCTCTCCACGACTCATACCATGCTCACATTCCCCAACTCATATTATACCATTACAAAATCTCCCCATAATACTCATATCATGTTCAGATGCATAAAGTCAAATCCAATATAATAAAATACAATCATCGTGGAAATCATACAAAATGAATATATCACAAAATAAATTAACAATACTAAAATATCACCATAAATAGTCACCGGAGAAGAATCAAATGTTTGACGAATCAAACTCACCATAAATGCCAGTACATATGACTAGTCACAACTTACTGGATTTGACCAGGGCTGCTCTATGATCAGGGATGTAACAACTCCGATTTTTAAGATTCCTCTATCCTACCATCACAATTATAATTCATAATTTCATATCTACCACAATAACATGAATTCATCAGAAATTTTCATTCCAACAAGATATATTGCACAATAATTTAACAGTACATAATTTGTTCAACAAGATTTAAGTTAAAAACTGGTCGAGTAGACTTCGAGGAAAGAAAGGTGCGTCACAATGGACCACTTAAGTACCAAGTCTTTCCTTAGCCAAAGTGTTCCTCAACTAGTTTTAACAAATTTCTTATTTACAGATTCAAAACAACAACATATAATATTAACACAGAAATTCAATATAGATAGATATACAGTACATATGTTTTTCATTAACAATATTCACACAGAATTTCAAGACATGAATAGTAATAAAACAATACTAAATCATAATATAAAAGCTTAGAAAGGTTAGCTCCCCTACCTCTATTCCAGACTTAATCTCTTGCTCAGAATTTATTTCTCCGAAAACCTTCAAGAACCTCTACTCTTTTTGCAACTAAAAATTTCTTCCTAACTTTTTCTTCTCTATTTCTCACTTGATTCTTCCTCTCTTTGTGCAGAATAACATCCCCTCTCATGGCTATTTATAGTCCAAAAATTTTACTTTTAATATTATTTTATTATATTAATATTTTAATCACCACTTGATATATTGGATCTCTCAATAATGCCTTCAAACTTGGGATGCTTTATCCACTATCAATATTTTAATTTTTTTTAAACAAAACGATAAAAAAGAGTTTGAACCCATGTTCTTGAAATCACCACAATTTTCTACCAATTAAGCTAACAAAATTTCTTATTTAACTTTCCACATTTTATTTTTACATAAACTTATTATATTTTACATTAACAAAGAAATTTATTACTACTAGTAATAAAATTGTTACTATTAATTTAAATATTTTTCATGGGTCTTACAAGATGGAGACACATTATGCAATACTATAAGTAATGCTAAAGAAACTATATTTTTTTAATTATTTTATGGAAGAGATAAAACCATTCATCTATGTGTGACCTTTCCTTTCATATACTCTATACCACACATCTAGCATTAAGGGTTTAACTTATTTTTTCCCCTAAACTTTTTTAGATTTTTGTTTTTAGTCCTTAATCAAAATTTTGTCTAGCGTTGGGTTTCAAACTTTTCCTTATTAGCATTGTAGCATGTGGTGTAACAAAATTATCAAAGTTCACTCACACAAGTTTACTTTATGTAAAGGGCAATTTTTATGTAACAAAATGAAGACTCATTCTTTTAGCACCCCACCCCATATTTTCTTTCTGGACCTCCATAATTACTCCAAATAATTTGTTTAAATTGAATTACACTAAAGTGTATTTTTTATGTATAAAACTCGTTCTTTTAGCACCCTATACTTTCTTTTTGCACATAGTTGCAAGAAAATTTTAAATTATTTTGAAGTTAAAAACATTTTGAATTACATAATTCAAAAACGTATTCCACATTATTTAATTTTATAATTCATAAATGTATTTCAGATTTCATAATCGAATTATAGATTATGCAATCAAAAACGTATTTCCAAATTTAGAAATGGATTCTAAAGTGTGTGATCTAAAATTCTAGAATACATTATCTATAAATACATTTTCATTGTGTAAGATCTTAAAATGTATGTGGAGTTGAAGGGTTTCTAATTATAGTTTTCATACATGCATTTTGAATCAGAACAATAGTTTTCAGCCCAATTGTTTTGTACCGTAGGATCCAATCCAATGAGTTTAATAACATTACTAGAATGACACATATGCCCCCAAACCAAGAAATCAGATGACTAATAAAAAATAGTTTCTTATACAAACTAAAAACACTTTTCCTTTAAACCTTCCATCAAAATTTTAAAACAACTGGATCCGTATCCGAATAGTATAAATGATCCGGGTATTGGGCCGGGCCGGGTAGATATCATATCCACTTGTAATAAAAGATAAACCAAACAACGAGTCTTTCTCTCTGAATCATTTGCTGTGGTTCGCTTCCTTTGGGTCACTCCAGTTTCCTTCTCTCTCTCTCATACACAAACACACTCCCACAGCTCAAAAAAACCCAAAACCCTAACTCTCGCGTTCTTTATCCCTCGCCCCCAACCATGAATTGTTCCAGTAACTTCTTCTTCTCTTATGATTCCGATTCCGCACTCACACTCACTCTCTCATTCTATTATTTATTTTTTGTTTTGGTGAAATTGGTTTCTTTTTCGCTGATCTGACCTTACGTCGTCGTTTTCCCTATGTTTGCAGTCTCCGGCGAAGTTCCGGAAGAGCCCGTCGTGTCCAGGAACTCTGGTCTTCTCTTCGAGAAGCGTTTGATCGAGCGACACATTTCGGTAACCCTTCTTTAGTTCCCATGTATTTATTTGTGTTCTTTATAAGCTTCTCTCTCTGTAAATATATGCGTGTTCATTTTTTGTTCTTTAGTTTACTGAAGAATGATAAAAAGAAAGCTGACTGAAGAGTAGCCGAAAAAATGTTTTAATTGATCATTGAGAAAGGAGGAAGAAATTACACTTTTTATAAGTTAGTGAAGGCAAATTTGAACTAGTTTCTTGGCTCTGTGACTGGATTTAGATTCCGTCTTGATTTAGTTTTTGAAGAAAAATACCTCTCCCTCTCGTGTCAGAAATGGAGTTGTGAAAGAATACAATCTAAAGTATTGTTTTGTAGTAGTTCTTTCATATGACTTCTGATTTGGAAGATTTTGAAGCATTGCATAATTGATTGTTTGCTTTGTTGTTTGTGTTTGTCTAATTGATAACAAAGGGAAGTGATTTTAAATCAGAAGACAATTGGTTATAGTGGTTGTGGTGTCTGCGTTTGCTATGTGCTGGGTGTTGCGGTGGTACTTAATTTGATAATATGTTGTATTTTTTTTCTCTAAGCTGGTATATAGGAGGTTATATTATTCATTATGAGATTTCATGCTATGAACATTGTTAATAAAATACTGTGTAGGATTATGGCAAGTGTCCAATTACTGGCGAACCACTTACTATGGATGACATTGTACCAATCAAGACAGGGAAGGTATGGTGGTAATGGTTTCAGTTGTATTCTTCCAATATTGAGTGTGGATTTTGTACTAAGACTAAGCCCTCTACGTTACTGTTGTGCTTTACTTTTCAAGAGTTCCCTTGCAGTGTACTGATCAAATCAGGATCATTTGTGCAGATAGTGAAGCCCAGACCTGTCCAGGCAGCTAGCATCCCTGGCATGCTTGGAATGTTCCAAAATGTATGGAATTTAGGCTATGAAGTATTCTTTATGATTTTTGGTACATTTTACTTGAAATAGTCTGCTGCATTTTTTCTCAAACATTATTTGCACTGCATTATTGGATTGCGACTTAAGTGATGGTTTCTGTTAAAAAGTTTTCTGTATAAATGTTTAGGCATGCTTAGGCATGTATAGTCTTGTTTCTGTTTGAAGAAAACAATTATATAGGCATCTACAAAGGATGATTTGGTTTGCCTAATTTGTAGGAATGGGATGGGTTGATGTTATCTAATTTTGCATTGGAGCAACAATTGCACACGGCAAGGCAAGAGCTTAGTCATGCTCTCTACCAGGTAAGAGCAACAAAGTTATTAATATAACAATTGTCCTTTTATAGTTCTGCATTGCATTTCTCAGCCTTGTGTTATACTATCTCCAAAGTTTTCATGTTTCTTGATTCTTTTAGATTCTCAATTTTCTTTTACAGGATTATATTATTAGCTTTACTATATTTTCCAGTACCTCAGTTGCCATTATTTATATTTGTTTTAATCTGTAGCATGATGCTGCATGCCGAGTGATTGCTAGACTTAAAAAGGAACGAGATGAAGCTAGGTCCTTACTTGCGCAAGCAGAAAGGCAGTACCCTGTTTCTGCACTAAATGCTCCAACTGCAAATGCCCCTGTTCTGAGCAATGGAAAAAGAGGTTTCGACATTATGATATCTTTTTCTTTCTTCTATATATTGCAATTCTGCAGACTACATTTTAGTCTGAGTTTGATTAAACTCTCATACAGCAACTGCTTACTTCATTGTTGTTATAGATGAAAGTGTTTAAAAAGCTTACATTTGGCACTTTATTAGGGACATTTTTACCTAGCGGCTATTATTTCTCTTTTTGTTGTTTTGATTGTTTATCTGAATTATCTTTTTCGCATTTAGCTGCTGAGGATGAGGATCTGGCTCCTGGTGCAAAGAAAATTCATCCTGGAATATCTTCTAGCGTAATTTCTGAGCTAACTGATTGCAATGCTGCTCTCTCCCAGCAGAGAAAGAAGAGACAGGTATTCTTGGTGATAATACAAGTACATTGACGTTTTCACATGTTTCCATTGCTGTTACTACCTTCCTTTTTCTCCATACTGGGTTCATTTCTGCTGTTTAACCTTTTTTACTTGTTGGATTTTGTTTAACTTGTAATATTCCATGTTGATTGCTTTGATTTGCATCCTAAAATTGTAATATACACGTGTGCATATAAATTTTTGTGGCATATTTCAATTATTTCTTTAGTGCTTTTAATATGTAGATAATGTTTGCATTTGTTTCATTGGATTTGGTTTGTTTCAGATTCCTGCCACTTTGGCTCCTATTGAAGCTCTGGAGTCATATACCCAGATATCTAGTCATCCCTTTCACAAAACAAACAAACAAGGCATTATATCCCTTGATATCCATTGTTCTAAGGTATGGTTTTTAAACTTTATAGAATAGAAGCATACAAGAAGGCTCTTTGATTTTTTTTCCCTTGAAAACTAATGGGAGGTAATCCAGGATCACCCTATTCTCTGTTGACAGGACTTAATTGCAACTGGAGGTATTGATACAAATGCTGTTATTTTTGACCGATCTTCAGGACAGATATTATCTACACTAAGTGGTCACTCCAAAAAGGTTTTATTTCAGTTGGAATTGCTGGAGTTATCTTTTCTTTAATTTTTTTGCTGATTGTGGGTGTTTTTGGTAGGTGACCAGTGTAAAGTTTGTAGCTCAGGGTGAATCAATCTTAACTGGTTCAGCAGATAAGGTAAAGGGTGATCCTCTACTATTAATTGCTTGGAAGTTGGAAGTGTTTTATTTGGGGTCTTTTTGGATGAATATGTTCAAATAATAGTGTAAGCACTTGCATATAAGTTGCTTTTTTTTTTTTTTCATCAAAAGGGTAATAGGGTTATACTGTTTTTATATAAGCTTGTTGGCTGTTCTCATAAGTTATTCTGGCTAGATTGTTGAAATGATAAGGTGAACAAAAAATCAAATGAACATGTCATATGCTGTCAAGAACACTTAGTCTAGTCGACTTGTCATAAGAAAAGTCCAAATGAGCTGTTCCAAATGGGCCTTGATAACCCTCTCTGCCTAAGTGCTGACATAGTATAACATCACAATAATGTTCCATCCATGCATTGCTACACTAATTGTTCTCATAATGATTATTCTTTTTACTTGGCCAACAGATAATGGTTTATTTGTGAATGTGAAATCCAAAGAACTTAGAAATTTAAAGTGTGTAGTATGTTGCTAGACTGATTTTTGAAGGGTAACTTTTTACGAGTTTGATCAGATCGGAAGTTTCAGACTAGGTTTCTCGTAGTAGAGAGTTTAGTCAGTAATGTGATTATTTCAACTTAGTGTTATCAAATTCCAAATGCTACTTAGTTAGGTGAAGTTTTCTCTAATCTGCTAGCTGTTTCTACTTTGCATTTTCCAGTGCCCAATGTTTTTATTTTATATTGCAGACAGTTCGTCTGTGGCAAGGGTCAGATGATGGTAACTATAGCTGCAGGCACATCTTAAAGGATCATACAGCTGAGGTAAATAGAATTAATGTCACCATATTATATCAGAATCAGTTATATCGTGTATAAAATCATTCTCTTTTTGCTTTTGTAGTATTTATGTCGAATACCCTCCTAACTTTTGAAGATCTAAATTTTGATTTTTTATTTATTTATGAAATTGAAGCAGGCCTACGAGTTTCTTACTCAAGATGAGTTTTAGGTTAACAATATCATCAAGTGTTTGGGGCATGGTGTTTACTTGATTCTGAGTGGCTCAATTTTTATTGTAAAAGCTTATGGATTGGCATTATTAGGTGTTTCTAAATAATTTAGTCCCAATTCCTCTTCAATGTTATACTTATTTCACATTTTTTGGTGATTAGTTTGCTGACATGGTATTAAATATTACCCATGGGCAGATGCCATGGTCTTTGCTGTGTGATAGTTGTTTTGATAGATTTGGTGGAGTCTAAGGTTATTTATAGGATTGGACTATTTTTTTTACACGAATCAATAACTTTCCATGTTTGATGATATGGCTTAATATGAATTTTTTGCTGAACGGGAAATAAGTTAGTGTAAAATGTTTGAAAGATTGTAGAAATTCTTCAAAAACACAACTCCGCAATCAGAACCAAGTTAGAATGTCCTCAAATAATCACCTCCAAATGTTTTACTTCCTGATTGCCTAACCTTCTATAATCTTTCTGCTTAGAAACATAATAGAGATAGCACCTTATTTAGTTTCTTACCGTGTTGCTCTGTAATTCACAGTTGCTGCAAGTCTCTGCAATGCATTCTGTGTATACTTCCTACTTTGGTTGGATTTAGATTTTGGAAATTTCAGCATAGATAACTCCCCTAGTCCAGTTTGATTTGACCACATAAACAATCATAGGATATTTGGATGTGAGTGGTGGGTGTTCCATTAATTTCAGCGGAAGCCATTTCCCATGATTTGTGCTTCATCTTGGATTTGGATTTTGGAAATTTCACCATAGATAACTTCCCTAGTCCAGTTTGATTTGACCACATAAACAGTCATAGGACAGTCATTGAATATTTGGATGTGAGTGGTGAGTGTTCCATTAATTTCAGCGGAAGCCATTTCCCATGATTTGTGCTTCATCTATATCACAAATAATCACGGTAGAATATTCATTTTCAGCTAATTTATTCTTGTATCATCAATACTAAAAAACAGGCATAGGATAGGACACCGACATTCCTGCAGATCTAATATAAAAATTACCATTCCCCTGCTGATCTTTTGTTTAAGAATCAGTTGTACCCTAGCAACGGCATCCTTACTGACCCTGGTAAGATGTTTGTTTATAGATTTTCCATCCTCTCAAGTAATGGAATTGGAATCTGAATTATCTTCAGATTCATCTGTCAAATCCATCAACTTTTCTATTTTATACGAGTAAAATTGAACACTTCGGCTCTAAAATCACAGTTTCTTTGCCTAAACTATGATTTGAACGTGGTATCAAAACCTCCGGGGCTGACCTAATGGTCTTCAGTATCCCCCCATTTCTCTAATAAAACATTTTTTATTCCACCTTGAAAATAGTTTCTCCATTTTGTGTGAAGTTCATGGAACCCAATTTCCACCAAATTTATGCATTTTGTCTGCTTCAGTTATTTATTTTTCACTAATGGGCCGTTTTTTTTTTCTTTTTCAAAGGTTTGCCAATTTGTCCTTTTTTTTTCATTGATTGGCTCTCTTGTACCGTATCTTTTTGTTGATAGGCTCCTTTTGTCTCTGATCCTACCTAGATGCAGTGTAGCTTGTTGCCGTCCAAAATTCAGTTTGGTCATTGTATTTGTTTTCATATCTAGAGAATTTAGTACTACTACATATAAGGGCTAATGTTTATCGCTTGTATGATGCCCTTCACTTCATATGGTATTTTATGCCCAAGAAAATATTACTCACAATCTCTATTCTTTCTGTACCTATATGCCCTGCATATTTCCCATAATTGCAATATTGTAAATATCCTAACAACCATTCAGCTATTTGAAACTCTTGACTGCTAGGTTTTGATATTCTTTATCATTAGATTTCGGTGTTCCTACTGCTTTAATGTAATGCTTATAACTGCAGTTCTACTTTTCAGTTGATTTATCATTTTGTAATCTGATGTTGTCCAGCTTGAAACATAATATCCACTCAGCATTATAAATTTTGCTTATATAGAACCATGAAATTGCATGCCTTTTAAGATTGCTGTTTTTAAATAAGGCTTCTCCCAATTCCTTTCAATTATGCCTGTCCTGTTTATGCTCTACATGTGATGCAAGGATGATTTGCTTTTTCAATTTTTCAGGTGCAAGCTGTCACTGTCCATGCTACCAATAATTATTTTGTGACTGCTTCACTTGATGGCTCTTGGTGTTTTTATGAACTTTCTTCAGGGACATGTTTGACTCAGGTTTGGTCTCCTTTTTTTATGTAATACGGTCCATAAGAACTATGCGTGCACATAAATCTTCTTTTAGTAGAGCACTTTTTTCTTGTCAGAATGTGAAAGTTAATTTAGTGCTTATAAGAGGGTTCTGGAGAATGTAAATAATTTTTAGTTTCTTTAAAACTCATCCTTTCTAAGTATTAGATTTTTACCTTTTTGTTCAGTCTGAATGTATATAAGTTCTGATTCAGATTATTGTAATATGGTGTTGTGTAGGTTTTCGACTCTTCAGGTTCTTCTGAAGGCTACACATCAGCCGCTTTCCATCCTGATGGTCTCATCCTTGGAACTGGTACCACAGAATCTCTTGTTAAGATTTGGGATGTAAAAAGCCAGGTAAACAATTTTTCTTTTACTTTGTTTGAATTTAAATTTTAGTATTTACTGTTATCTGTGTTGATACCTTCTTTCATTGGTTGTAGGCAAATGTTGCTAGGTTCGATGGACATGCTGGTCCAGTAACTGCCATTTCTTTTTCTGAGAACGGATACTTCCTTGCGGTATGTGAGAAATTGTTAACTGTAAAAACATGATACGATTGTCTGTACAGTATTCTTATTGTACTCTTAAATTCGGCAGACTGCTGCTCACGATGGTGTTAAGCTTTGGGATCTACGGAAATTGAAGAACTTTAGGAATTTTGCTCCATATGATTCGGAAACACCAACAAACTCTGGTATACATCTTCAGTTGTCGATGACCTTATGTAACCTATTTCTGTACTTGTAAAGTTATACCTATTTCAAAATGCCTTCATGTAATTCTGTATTTTGCAGTGGAGTTCGACCACAGTGGATCCTACCTTGCAATTGCTGGCTCGGATATAAGGTGAAGAAAAATGTCTAGTACTTGGTTTGGTGACTTTCTGAACGTTACAGAAAAAATATCCTCAACTGAAGCCTGTTATTTTGTCAGTACCTTCTTTCATTAGATTTAACCTGAAATTGATTACCAGTTCCTGTTAATTTATGTAGGATTTACCAAGTTGCAAATGTGAAATCTGAATGGAACTGTATTAAAACCTTCCCTGATTTATCCGGAACAGGTTTTGTATCTTTTCCCCCATTGTTTATAATTCCTTCAGGGTTTGAGAGTTTCTTATTTCTTCAGTTACTAAGACGGCAATCGAACTTTTTCTTCCCAGGTAAGGCCACGTGTGTAAAATTTGGTGCAGACTCTAAATACATAGCTGTTGGATCAATGGACCGGAATCTTCGAATATTTGGCTTGCCTGGCGAAGATGCTCCCACTGAGTCATAAAATGCGTCAGTTGTACAGGCCAAAATGCTGTTTTGGAGTGACTGTTGCTGCCATTTGGTGCTTGGTCAGAATCATGGATTGGAGAAGTTAATGAAGGTAGTGGTTTCTTTGATTATTTGGTCTTGGTTCTCACACACAATGGTGTATGAGAGGGATGGAGCAAATGTACTTTCAGGCTTTCTGCAGCAACATTATTATGCCTTTGATCATGGCTGCTAACCTAAGTGACAGAAGCTGCAATATTTGCCTTGTCTTCAAAACCTCGAAGCTTATGTTGTCCGTAGATAATTTTGTAACGTAAACTGTTAAATTAGTGAGATAACTGATTTGTCGGCCATTTCATCGGAAATTTATATGGTTGTAACTATTCTTATTCGGGGTGCTTTTCTTGATTTATTAGACATTATTAAAAAAAAAGGCAATAGACATCAACTTCTAGTAGACTAGTTATGAAAATTCATGTTGAGCAAAACTCTTTTTTTGTCATTTAAGTAATGTAAAAGATTAAAAGACCATCGATTAGACTGATGGGATGTCTGAAACGTATATTGTCTGCTGCCTGAAGTTCATTGTAGTCTATTTAAATATTTCTTACCGATGGATGAGACAGATCGTTGTGTTAGTCGTCAACCATTTCTGTTTGCCAACTTATTCATTGAAGATTTGTAGTAATACTAATTTGGTACAGTGCTTTTTCAAATATTATCCACGATAGCTGTCCTATATGATTTCTGGTGTCTTTGAAATTCACAGCCCCTTTTCACCATTTTCTTCATTACCTCAAGTTGTCAGAATCTAGAAACCATGAGAATTTCTTACATTTAAAAAAAAAGTGATTAATTTGCAAATCAGAGTCGTTCACTCTGATTGCACAAACAATGAAGGATGAACAGTTCTAATAATTTCAAATGTCACTCAGACCAAACAAATATAAAATTAAAAGCCTTTTTTAAATATTAGTTATGGAACTCAGCTAAGGAAGTTTCAACTAAATTAAAAATAATATAAGAATTATTCCATTTCAACAATTGCAAGATAAATTAATCTTGCAACACAATAATTTGAAGAACATAACTGGTTCAAAGCTTTCTACTCAAGCTTAAATAATTAAACTCATTTTTTATTTTTCATGTAAATTTTGTATTTATTTTTTGTCTAAATAAATTCAGACGTCTTTTCATCTTTTGTAAACTAGAATTAAATGATTTCGCATCTTTCTCAATCATTAATGGAAAGTCATTTTTGGTTTAAAATAAATACTAAATACAAAGTAATTGTTAACAAGTGAAAATTTATTTATACATCTTTACATAACAAGTTTAAATTGACTGTCATATTTTTTAAACTGTATTACATATAACTTAATGTATAATATAATTAGGTTTCGAAACTATACGATAAATTATATGGAAAGAATTTACACAAATTAACTTACATATAAATTAATTTTAATATATGAAAAGAATCAAATTTCTTTTCAATACTCAAGAATTATTTGCTACTCCCTCTTATCCTTACTATAACACACATTTCAAAATAAATTGTTCTTTTCAAAAGAAAATTTATAACTTATGCATAACTTCATATTTGTTTTCTGTATTTACTCCTATTAAATAATATGATTACTTGTGTTTTGTAATACTGTCACAAGAATATACCAAAACTAATTTTTATTATGTGTAATTATACTAGAAATGTTCTATATTACCAACAAGCATATTATTTTTTTTGGTTGTTTAACTTCAATCCACACAAAGAGGATCTATATTGACATTTCTATGGTCTAATTAAAAGTAAAACCATCCAACCATTAAACAATGATATTGCGATTGCAATCTGTTCTTTTTAATATCTCACTGCTTAAGGACTTCATTGTGCTCATCTTAATGTTGACTAAGGTAAGGAGAAGTATATCTGAAACCCCACAACTGCACATAAAAGAAATTGTGTAAAAATAGCAAATCATAGTTATGGTAATAGAAAAAAATAATCAAGGAAATAAAACATTTATTTAAAGATGTAAGCTTAACTGAAATATCATAATATATAAGGATGTTTAACATTTTTTTTAGAAATAAAATAATAGCATAGAACAATGACACATCATTGGATAATTAAAAGCCAAATTTCATAGAAAACAATGAGGGTAAGGTTTTGTTTAACATTTTCTCTCTTTTTTTTAATAGTAATTCTTAGTTAAAAATTGAATTGTTCTGACCTTGTTTTATCCAACATTTCTCATTGCAGCCTCCTCTCTTATTCACCATTTTAGCACAAACTAATTTTATAAGATATTTCTTAGTTTAATGCCATATTAGTATACAATAATTGCATTAAGATTAAAACATATATTAAATCCAATGGTAATCATAGGCCTAAAGACAAATAATAAGTTAATCACATCAACATCAACTTCTGAAGTAAGCATTTACCTCAACGTTCTTCAATTCAAATTCTGATGTATGAGCCAAACACATGTTTCCAAATGTATCACACGGTCCACTGGTTCCAGTTAACCTTTTCAATCGAGCACAGAGATTCAATTAGTGCTACTTAGAACGTTAATAAATTACTTAAGTAACACTAATAAAGTACTTACAAATCTTCATCTAAGCATAAAGCAGAACTTCCACCACCACCAAATGCAACCAAATCATTCAAACATAAGTAATAATACCTGTTCACACCTACAACCATCATATCAACTTGTAAGAACTTATATTTTTGTTATATATATAAACTTAATTAAATAAAAACGAATGATGTTACTTGTAAGAAGTCTTACCAGTAGGTCGAAAAAGCCTTGGTTGACCATATACAGTTGTAAATACAAAAGTTTGATTTGTCCCCTGTAACCACAGAAACAGAACAAAATGACTATATGTAACGATGTTAGCAATAACTGAAGAAAAAGAAAAGATTATGGTACTTGATATTTTCTCTTGAAAGTAGGTTGCAAGGGACAATCTACCAGCCCACCAAACACTGCTCCTTTTCTATCTCCAACAATCTAAATGTTTTGGCAAATACAATAACAGAACAATACATTAATCTGCAGTGAGCGAATGAACAGCATCATTCAGCTCATAAAAGATTGACATACCAGCAAAGCAGGACCAGAAAGTTTAGCACTGTTGCGAAGAAGTGTTCTAAGTGATATGCCATGTTTCATGGAACTGCCCTTCGTTCAAACAACTCATGTTAAATCCATATTTCAAATGTTAAATATGTTTTAATTCTTAAATTTGGATGTAAAATTAAAATTCGTTTTTTTTTTATATTTTTAGAAGTGGATGAATATGATTCTCTTAATTCAATAATGTTAATTACTTTATGTATTAAATGGTTTTTCAAATTAAAATGTATCAAACTATAAACTACTCAAACATAAACATGAATGTCGCTTGACACATTCAAAAAATTAACACAATCAAATTAAAAAAAATATATATTTATTTACTTTTAAACTTTAAAGAAAAAACTTATACTAAAGTTTTATATATAAATGAATTATAATTTTAAATGAAATTATTAAACTAAAAAGGAGAAAATTAATTACCTGTAAAGTAGAACCCTCTGACAGCCTTTTGTTGTATTAGGGAGGCAGGAGTCAAAAAATTGATTCAACTGAGGAGAAATGAAAGTAGAATGATTATCGAAATTGGGAGTTTCTGGAGAATGGTGTTCATGGAATTCTTCTGAAACTTGAGAACTGCTTCTGCTCTTTCTTGAGGCCTCATCTTTCTCGCCATCCTTTTTAGAATTCATAAATTACAAATTATAATTTATAATTTATTATTATTATAAAAATATTATTACTTCATATATTAAATACTTTATTAATAAAAATCGATAAAATATCTTAAACTATTATATATAAATCGTGTCAAATAGATATACTTAATACAAAATAAAATGTTAACAGGGAAAAAAAAAGGTGGTGATGCAGCTAACCTAATTTCCAAATGAATGAAAGTTGTGAAGAGGGCATGCAAGAACTGCAATTGAAGCTTTGACCACTCATCATTCTATCTTTCTTTCTAATGAGTTAGGTTGATAACTTTTTATGGGATAGTTCTTTTAGTAGATAATTTGAAATGTTTGGTAACAAAATATAACTTTTTGATAATTTCTTTTGACATAAATTTTAGAATTTATAAAAGAAATTTTAAATTATACAAATTTCAAATTTTAAGCAAGAATTTGAAATTCTTCTTACTCCTACTCTTCAACATGTAGGTTCGGTTTTACCAATATTTCAAAAATCTAAATTTTTTTCAATTCAAATCGAATTAACTCACATTTAAAAACGACAATACGGGTTGATTCAAATTTCTTTCATGTTATAACATCTAAAATATCATAATGTTAGATTCTAATAACCCTATTTTTTTAATTAAATTAATAAAAATAATAAATTTTCCTATTTTTTAAACTCTCGACGATGTCAATTCAGTCTTCTTGTTTTAAATTGTTTTAAATGAGTCCTCAATTTTCAAAATGTAATATAATTTGACCCTTTCGATTAATATATAACTTATCACGTTACCTTAATGTCACGTACATAACTTTTTTGAATTTTTAATTTTTTTTTTTAAAAAACTTCTCACGTGTCAAATGAATATCTGTCACCTAATAAAAATAGTGTAACGTGACAATGGTACATGTTATTATTGAAAAAAATGTCATGTCAAAATTTATCAATTTAGTTCTTTTATTTAAATTTGATTTTACTTTAGTCTTATTTTTTTTTAAATTGAAGCAATTTCATCTCTTTCTAAATTAAAACAAAAATTTAACTTATATATATATATATATATATATATATATATATATATATATAAAATGATATTTTCATTAAAACTGATATTTATATTAAATACTTTTTATAATATTAAATTTATATTATATATTAATAAATTTTATGCAAATGTTATAGTTAGTTTAAAAATATCAATATTATAAGTACAAATATAAAATTTTAAAATAATTTTATAACAATTTAAAATAAATTTATTTAAAATTTAAATAAAATTGAATTTAAAATATTAATTTAATTAAACCTAATCTTAGTAAAAATATTAATAAAAACATCATTAAAATAATTATAACATAAGGTAACAAAATAGGCCAACTAATTCAATTTAAATAAAGTTCAATGTAAAATATAAATTTAGATGAACTTAATATTGTTAAAAATATTTTTAATAAGATTAAGTATTTTAAGTTTTTATAAAACTATTTTAAAATTTTATATTTCAATTTATAATATTTTTATTTTTAAACAAACTCTAACATTTGTATAGAAATTATTAATATATAAATATTTAAAATAAAATTTAAATAAAGTTCAATGTAAAATATAAATTTAATATTATCATTATTAACATTAATTATTTTTAATATATCATTTAATATTAGTATTTGAAAATATCATTATATATTTATATAAAAGTTAAATTTAGTTTTAATTTGGAAAGTGATGAAATTAAAAGATTAAGGTTAGATCAATTAAATAAAATGACTAGATTAAAATTGTCATGTCAAACTAACTCTACCACATGACAAAATCTTCATTTGACATGTGACAATTTTTTTAAATAATTTTTTTTAAAAATCACTATAACATGTGACATTGAGTTAACGTCATCAGATGTATATTAACAGAGTTAAATTATATCACATTTTCAAAATTAAGAATTTAATTGAGACAACTTAAAATCAAAGGACAGAATTAAAATTTTTTTACAAACATCAACCTCATTGTAATTTTTTTTCATGCCAATCACATTGCTCTCTCTAAAATCATTTACTAATCTAGAAACACAAAACCGATATGAGTAGGCATCCCAATACAAATTCCAAACAATATTTATATTTATCTCCGAATGAACAATTTAAACAGAAGAAATGCAGATTAATAAAAGTAGCAGGAAGAAACAGAACCTGAGTATGGTTGGTGGAGGTCTTAGGAGATCGACGAAATAAAGAAGAAAAATAGTGTTTGAATTTCTCTTTCAAAGATTTGACTTTTGGTAGAGACTGAAATGAAAGGAAATCAAAGCAAGAAATGGTGTGAGTTTCATCAAGGTTTTGCCCCATTGCATCAAAATTCAAAAACAAACTTGATAAGATATCATTCATCTTTTATAGACTCTTATTTATTTATTTTTTTTCATGTGTCAATGAAAGGTAATTTCGGATTAGATTATCATCCTAATCGGATTATAAGAAAAACCATCGTAATCATTATCATTTTAAAATGTTACTAAATATCATATCTGTACCACTTCTCAATCTACTTATCATAACTTTATTACAAATATTAATGAAAATATTAATTGCTAAGTATTACTACATTAAATTTATTTTTAATTATAAACAAAAAAATTGACTTTATTTTAAATAAGGATGCAGTGACACACAATATCATAAAAAAATAAACTTGTGTAATTTTTAAAATAATAATAATAATAATAATAATAATAATAATAATAATAATGTTAAATGAATATAAAAAAATTATATGTGTTAAAATATATTTTTCTTTTATTTTTGAAAAACTAGAATTTTATAACTCATGTCGGGTTATCAAAGATGAGGTTCACCGAAAAGACACAAACACCAATAAAATTTGAATCCAACCATATAAGGATTGACACCACTCTTTATCCAAAACCTTAAGGCGGGTTTTTCATCTTTATATAATGTTCTATTTCATTTGTATCCAATGTGAGACTTACACTCATACTTGGATTCCCAACACTCATATCATCATTCTCATGAGATGAATATATTTATGACTTTTGTACTTATCCATTTTCATTGTAAACTTAATAAATGTATTATACACATAATCTATTTATCTTGTCTGTATTTTATATATATTTTCAAAAGAGGTGGAAAATTAAATTTTCTTATAATAATTGGATATAATCAAATTTAATTAACTTTAATTCTATTAGAAAAAATAATAATTTTCCTTTTTAGTACTACAATTAAAAAGATGGATTGGTTTCATATAATAGGTTTATTTCCGTTTCATAAAGTTTCGGTTTTCGCATGTTTTCGTTCTTTATATAAATTTTTTTACATTTTTTTTTTGTTTTTTTTCCTTTAGTATGTTAGCTAAAATTTGAAAAGTACATCACATTTTGATTTAATTTAGTAATGGTTTTTACGTTCTAGATATTTCTTCCTAAAAGTCTATTAAAATGAAAAGAACTAACGACCAAAAATCACCAAAAATATTAATGGTAAAGAAAAGGTTATTTAATCTAATGAGTATTTCTTACTTTAATTTTGATATCAATAGAAATCTTATTAAGTAGGGATGACAAAAAAATTCATTATCCGCCTATAAAATTTACGGTGAATAATTATTATTGACAAATATTTATTACATATGGATAACGGGTAGCGATTATTCTAATATCATTTCTAAACGGATTAGGTACGAGTATTGTACTATTCAATATGCAGATACTCTTTACCAGTAAAAATAATAATAATAAATTAATTTATGTTTTTTAAATTAAATTTAATTAAAAATAAAATTAATTTATATTTTATTATGTTAAATTTAATTTATATTTAATTTAATTTATATTATATTATATATTTTTTGTAATTTTATTTAAATTTTATTCTAAAAAAATATAATTGTTAAATATTTGCGGGTATTGCGGGTACTTGCAGGTTTTAAGATATATGTGGATATTTTTTAAGCGGATCTCGCATAAGTAGCAGCGGGTTACCAATCAAAATTTAATTTTACAGGTCAGATTAGAGTAGACATTATCCGTGTCCGAACCGATCCATTTTCGTCTCTAATATGAATGTTGGCATTTTATGAGTAATATTTATATTCTTTTTTGTTTTTTCTACAAATTTTCAAATTCAAATGACTAATCAAAGAAGTTATTAGGAAAAAAAATATCATTAAATTACATAGACGAACTAAAACGTGATGTATTTAGAACGTTCAAATTTTGGTAAATGTATTAAAAACAAAAATCATAAATAATATTTGTACTAAAAACAACAATAATAAGCATATATTGTTTAACAGTCGAAATCATGTTAAATAAATAAATAATTTCCAACACCATTTCATTTTTAACATCAAATTTATTACATAAATAGAAATAATTTATTACATATAGACAATTGTTAAAGCTTTTGTGTGAAAAAAAATTTAGCATATTCATTAAATAGATTATTGTATTATTAATTTCAATATTTATTATTAATCATAATATTTAGTAAATGAGTATTTGGTATTGTTAATTTCAATGTTCATTAAATGAATATTTTAGTATTATTTGTTCGAATTTTTATTAAATATAATATATTTATTAGATTTAATATATATATAAAATGTATATCATAAAAAAAATGCAATTTTAAAGTTGAATAAAATCATACAATTACATGTACATGTGTATATTTATATTATATAATCAAATGAATATAAAAGGAAAAAATATAACAAAACTTTATTACAAGAAAATAGCTAATAACAACTAATTTTAAAAAAATAATTAATCATTATATTAATTAAGTTAAATATTATTTTCTAAATTATAAATTATTAATTTTTAAAATAATCTTTGTTATGAATCATGTGAGAACTTATAAAATGGAGTATTAAAATTTACAGGTGTTTTAAAATAATGAGACCAAATATTTTAATGTTAAAATGATTTAATAATATAAAATTTCTTAAATACGTCTCATTATCTAAAACACTTAACATCTTCCTATAA